TTCTGAGAAAAATGAAAGAAGTTGCCTGGAAACTATTTTTCTGTCATTATTACAGCTACTAAAATCCACTGAAACAATGAAAATCTTCACAGCAAAGTTAATGCAGAAAATGAAATTGTTCGAGAATAGTTATTTATTCTAGCATATATGATAATATTTTTTCACTGTTGAAGCTCGGAATCCGTGCCGAAAGATGTCGGAAAAGATCCGACCGGATCCGACGTCTTCCGACCGATGAATCTAATTTTGTTGGATGTGGCAGAATGTGACCAGTTTTGAGGTTAAAAAGAGACTTAAATTTTTTCTTTCATTTTCTAGTGGTGCTTCTCTCTGTTTATCCGCGAGAGTGGAAGGCCCCACTAGCTAGGATGTGTACAACAAGGAATTCAGCAGATTCCTATCGCTGGATCCGGTCGGGCGTCCGATCTCCGGAAATCACCGGAATTAAAAGGATCCGACAGGATTCGATCGGGCGAACTCGACCTTGGTACTCCGACAAGGTCTTTGCGCCGTACAACGTAACTTGTCGCGCTGCTTCCGAATATGTAAAAATGTCGAAGGTCGCTGCTCTAGGAAAAAAACCATCAAACTTTGATATGTCTATTAACCCTAAGCGGCTGTCCACGGGTACAACCGGACCGGTTCCCAAAGTTTTTTCTTTACCATTATGTCTTTATGCAGTTGTTCGAGCTGTACACGATGCTGATCTACTTTTTACAAAAGGAACCCTTTTAGTCTTTGAGAAATATGGCTGTTTGATGATTATCCTCTAAGAAAGGAAGTTTTTGATTTATTATAGTTATTTTGAAATTTTGACATGTTTCTAATTAATATAAAGAATTACTAAATAAAAGATGTAGTCGAACAAGGACAAAACTTAATAAAAGTATTACTAGAAGAACACTAAAATATTCAAAGGTACTATAAATACAAAGTGTTGTCGACTGCGTACTATATTATTAAATTGAAATTCTTTTGTTTCACTAGCATTTTTAGATCTTTAGGTTTTGTCCCAGCCCAGGTAGGTCTGATATAAACCAAACTTTCAGGCAATGTTCACCATGTCACTCGCTGATCATATACAGCAAAAGATGAAAATGACTTTTCTCCTCGTCTGCGTTAGTAGCGTTCAACATAACTTACACTTACCAGCTGCTACTATCAAATATGGTGACTTCAACTGAAATCAAAGAAACGCAAACACACTCTTCAGCCACGTTAAAATATATCAATTAAAAATCTACGTAAAAACTGACACGACGAAGCTAACATATACAACCATCGCCAAATCACAAAAATCAACAAAGTCGGCAGCCAATCGGTTACACCACCTGTATTCCACCATCGCAGTAGTATTAAATAATAAATTAAATGGTGTAAAACAAATAAAAACACCTTTCTTTTAACAACATTAGGGCGGCACATGGTAAACACTATCAGTACCTAGCACGTTAACACCTGCTACCCTTAACATTATAATGGCCTTTTCTGCCATAAACTTGCTCAATACCATCCCGCGTGACAGCAATATCTGGATGATAAGCTGGCAAACATTTTTCTCTTATCGTTAGACTTCTCTCATAATATTCCGAAGCACGATCATACTCGCCTTTATCTGCATAAACGGCACCAATATTATTCAGACTAATGCCAATATCTGGATGATCAGCTGGCAAACATTTTTCTCTTATCGTTAGACTTCTCTCATAATATTCCGAAGCACGATCATACTCGCCTTTTCTGAAATAAACTAGGCCAACATTATTCAGACTGGTGGCAATATCTGGATGATAAGCTGGCAAACATTTTTCTCTTATCTGTAGACTCCTCTCATAATATTCCGAAGCACGATCATACTCGCCTTTATCTGCATAAACGGCGCCAATATTATTCAGGCTAGTGCCAATATCTCGATGATCAGCTGGCAAACATTTCTCTCTTATCTTTAGACTTCTTGCATAATATTCCAAAGCACGATCATACTCGCCTTTGTGACTGTAAACGCCAGCAATACTACTCAGACTGGTGGCAATATCTGGATGATCAGCTGGCAAACATTTCTCTCTTATCTTTAGACTTCTTGCATAATATTCCAAAGCACGATCATACTCGCCTGTTCTGGAATAAACTAGGCCAGTATTATTCAGACTGGTGGCAATATATGGATGATCAGCTGGGAAACACTTTACTCTTATTTTTAGACTTCTCTCATAATATTCCAAAGCACGACCATACTCGCCTTGATCTGTATAAACGCCCGCAATATTGTTCAGACTGGTAGCAATCTCTGGATGATCAGCTCGCAAACATTTTTCTCTTATCGTTAGACTTCTCTCATAATATTCCGATGCACGATCATACTCGCCTTTAACACGATAAATATTGGCAATATTATTAAGTACACTGGCTGACTGTTTGACACGTGGTTGCCGTGAGCTGATTATGATCTCGTACGCGGACTCGTACAGTTTCAGTGCTTTAGCATATTCGCCTTTGAGGTCATGAGCACGCCCAAGGCTAAACTGAATGTTAGCGATATCCTCTACTCCTGGATTTCGCAGCAGAGTCTCAAAGTGCATCTGGGATTTGTCGTATTGTCCCATGTCACACAGAAGTCTACCAAACATCACCAGAGCACTCGTCTCTTCCAACTCTTTTCTGTTCAATTTTATATACTCTTTGGCGGTCTCTCTTCCTTTACCAGTCGCGCTCATTTCTACAACACAAACATTCGACTCTTCTCGATAAACAGAACATATCTCGAACGTGGCACCTAAATCAAACAGCACTTCCTCTTCATCAGCGAAACTGCTGAAGTGGGCAATGTCAGCTACCGTAATAGCATCATTGAGGTCATTCAAATCACACTCGATCTCACACAAAACGCCAACTTCATCCCGATGCTTTGCTGATTCACCTGCAAAATGCAAAGCTACTTCACGAGAACGACTGGTTGAGAGAAAGCCATTTGTCGAAATCAGTTTACCTTCGTTCTCTTTTAGTTTCTCAAATTCCTCACTCGACAAATTGACACCACGATATACTCGGAGCACATTCTTTTCTCGCTGTTTCATTTTCTCATATTCTTGTGCAAGGCATGAACAAAGATCAACGATGAAGAATCGAAACAGATACAGCTGTTCGATATCTTCTGTTCGAAGAGCTTTGTTGATGAGTTTATATACAAACGACTGTTTTGTATACCATCGAATAGCATCATCTCGTTGGTAGGTATCGTTAAAGTCTTGAATGAGTTTCAGTTCTTTCCTGTTACCTCTATAGTATTCTTGACACTTCTGAATCATCTGTTGTTTGCCATGATGATCAGGTGGCATTTGCATGATGAGATCTTTGAACAGCTGGAACCAGAGAAAAGAAGCTGATTCTTTGGATAAATCACGAGTCGACTTCTGGTGAGTATAGAAGCTAAACGATTTCATTTGTTTCTCAACCATCCTCGCAGTCTCCTTGATCGAATAGATGAGTTCTTCGTGTGAAGCGAAGAACCCGATTATTTTCGAATATTCATCTTGTAGATGTATGTACCTGTCGCCGTTCATGCAAAGGATGAAAATGGAATCGATTTGAGACAGAGTCTCGATATGAGGAAGAAGATGGACGGCACATATGCCTGATGTTACAACAAACACTTTTTCATTCTGAATATGTCTGACGTGGTCAATGCATGAGTCCAACTTTGTGTGGAAAATGACAAAATCATTGACTTCTCTCAGCATTTTCATTGTTCGCTTTGTATCGTCGTTTGAATCGATGTTGGTATCAAACCAGATGAGCGTCACACTCTCTTTGTTTTCATCATGTAGCGTTCTCTGAGCAGGAGGAGTTGTTGGTGGTAGCGGATGAAGCGAAACGGTAATTGTCGAAGATGTTCGTTGTGTATTCTCATTGCTTCTTGAGTAAGTAGGAAATGGTGTTTCACACGTGTTTGATGTTAACGCTGTTGACTTTATGACTTGTATCTTGTTGCTTGAAGATGTTTTGATGGCATCGGAGGGCGGTGACGGAGTGGTTGGTTTTGTCGAAGAGTGCTTCTGTTTATGCATTGTCTGCATTTCAATCATGACAGAAGTGCTGAAAGTTGAAAAGTGAGATGAAAGTGATAACCTCCGCTTACTTATCATGTCGCGCACTTTCGTTAATCTTTGCTCATCTTACTTTTGATTCAGGAATTAAAACCATGTCCCAGCTAGAAGTGAATATGCATTCGTTGTTCGAGAACGTGTCGTTGTTTCGACTTTTCTCTAGTTGCTGTAACTTGTGTGTAAGTACTATATCAACGGCTATATATTTTAAAGTAGAATATTATCACAAGGGAAGACAATGAATAGTAGAAGGAGAGAGTGTATGCGCTTCGCCTTTCGTTCTTATCCTAAAAACAAGTTGTGAATGAGTGAGAAGAAGTCTGTATGTTGCTTTCTTTACTTTAATTGTCGGTACCAGATATTATTCGAATTTATGATGTTATGAAAGACTGTTATATTTTAAACAGTACAAGGCTCTGATAAGAAACAAAAAGAATATAACAGTATGATTATTTGCATCTCATAAAGTGACAGAGATTTATCAGCTGACTCTAATGAAGGTCTGATCTGTTATTTTCTAATATGAAATCATTCAGAACTACTAATGTGTAAAAAAAGCATGAGAATTGTAGTTAGATAAGAGCCATTGAGTATTCTGTTTTCTAATAAAAAAACTGTTGAGACATCACTACTGTCGCCACATGCGTGTGATCAAGAAGTAGCCAATGATAAGCTTTTATTTATGATTGACTCATACAAAAAGAAAGAAAATAATTCCCCTAAAATATTCCCTTCTTGTAACCAAGATCTTGACTTTTGAATTTTTTCAGTAAGATCTAGGTAAGAAAATATAAGAAATTTCAAGCAGCCAAGATCTTGAGTGAAAGATTCAAAGATCCAAGGTCATTGATTCTTGGTGTTTTTCCCAAGATCTTGTGACATTTCTTAACCCAAGATCTTGGGTACAAGAAGTTTCACTAGGGAAATCAATAAAATAGAGTCGAAAAGGAATGAACAAAGAAAAAAACCATATTGCAGGAAAAATAACTACAATTTGTTTTCGCGCTACTTTGTTATTATGATCATACCGCCAAGGAAGAAAAGTGCTTCCTTTCGTGACTTATTGACGTTTTTTTGCGGTCGTTTTTCCTTGCCTTAAATAAATTGCAAAAGTATCGCAATCAATAATTATCCATTCAAAATAAATTTGAGCAGGGGCAATTCAAAATGCACTTAAACTACACTTAAACTACATTAGTGATTTGAATACATGCACAGACTCTGCATCTATTAAAACC